AGGAACACAGAAGAGGTGTGGTAATGAAGGCACCGAACAGCCAAGACAACAGAGGGGTGGCATTCAAGAGGAACCATCAGGGTTCCAGCAAGGAACACCACCATTGCCCCCCCCCTCATCCCCATTCCCTGCTTGGCCAGACAGCGGTGTTCATAAGCTACTGTGCTGTTTGGCTAGTTGGGAGCAGGACTGCTTTGAGCAGTGCTTGAGCGTGTATGTGTGTGTGTGCACGCGTGCGCACGTGTACATGTATATACGCACACACATCTAGAAGGGAAGGAAGCCTATCTTTTGAATCTATTTAGTGGCTGTTTTAGTCTATTTAGTGATGCTATAGCAAACTGTTAGATGCTATGTATTTTATAAAGAACACACACACACACACACACACACACACACACACACACACACACACACACACACACACACACACACATATATATATATATATATATATATATATATATATATATAACTTAAAGTCCAAGAGCACAGTGCCAGAAGCTGGCTAGGACCTTCCTGCCACACCATCCCACAGCAGAAGGCAGGAGGCAAGAATGACCAAGGCAAGATGGCAAGAGGAAGCCAAACTCGATTTTATAACAAACACACTCTTCTGATAACTAACCTACATCTGCAGTCATTAATCACCTCCCAACATTGTTACATTGGTGATTAATTTTCACACACCTGCACTTTGCAAGACACATTCAAACCATAGTACTAGATATGGAAAAATGACAAGTGTTGAACCGCATGAGCAGGTAGCCCCAGCATAGGCAGGCACAGGGGTTCACACACTTGCCTAATTATCTGCCTTGTCCAGAGAGTATGTGCTATCTTCCACACCATTTCAAACACCTTGCATAGTGCCTGGAACCCCATTAAGTGCGCAATAAATATGTAAACATTGAGGCATAACAATCATTTCATCATCTAGTACATATACTCACTAGATCCAAGGCAGTAGAACTGTATTTCCTCTGTTTATCCTAATTCCCTCCCTCCATCCTTCCCTTCCCCTCCCTCCCTCCCTTCCACCCTTCCTTCCTTTGTTGGATGTCCCTTGTCCAAATTTATTTGGCTTTGTTTTCTTCTGTGTGGGCTTCGTGATCTATCAGGCATCTTCCATATGGTGACAAAGGCTATCCCCAGCACTGCAAGCATCCTTCCTCCTTTCAGAGAAAGAGAAGTCTCCCTTCCTAGTGTTTGCAGCAAAGCCCCAGGGCTGCTTCTAATTGGCCTGGTTGAGACCTTGAGCCCTACTCATATGGCCAGATTAACATGATGTGTGCCAATTAGCCAGGCCTGGGCCTCATGCCCATCCCAGGATTGGAGGTGGTGTCAGTTTCTCATGAACCCCATGGTCCCTGGGAATACCGGAGGGGAATTTTGAGGATTCGGGAAATCAGGAAACTGTTACTGAAGACCTAGATGATCTCAGACTAAGAACAACACATGTCCTCTGATGGGGCAGCTGGGGTGGGATGCAGCCGTGGCTCCAGCAGTCACCTGAGGCTCTTCTATCTGTGGAAGCTGTCCTCTTTGTCCTCTCTGTCCTCTTTGGCTCTTGCTTCCCCTGGGCTCAGGGCTCACTTCCACCCATTTGCAAGTCACTGTTCTCCCTTCCTGAGTCAATTTAGATGTCACCACCTCCAGGATGTCTTCCTATGGAATTGTGTACTCCCCCTCATCAGAGTGCTCATTACATTATAGGATAATCACTTGTAGAACTGACTGTGTCCCTACATCCGGGTAGAGACTCCATATATCATACAAACTATAATATTGTAATACTGTAACATTGCAATACTGTAGTATTTTTTATATACTGTAATGTTTCCTGGCATATTACCTGGGAATATTACTGCTTGGTAAATATTGAATGATGGTGCTAGTGCTGACCTCAATCCCAAGATAGAATCCCAAGATAGAATCCCAACGGTGTCTCCCTCATTTTACTCTTTCTCCCTCTCTTTTTCCCTTTGCCTCATCCATGCACCCACCACCATCTATCCACCCTGCACTACGCATTTATCCCTCTACCTGTCTATCCACTTGACCAGCCAATCAACCGTACTCATAAGTCCACTGCTCTGTGGATCCATTCATCCAACCAAGCATTCATTCACTCAGACATGTAAATAAATATCCATAGTTGCTGACTACCATTCTTTGCTCTATGATTATGAATGAAAGTCCTAGCCCTCAGGAGTTGGCATTCTAGTAGGTTAAGATAGTGTATAAACATGGATGATGAGTAAATTAAGATGGAATATAAGTTGTACAGGCCACATGGGTTGTCAGACTGAAATTCTGGGATTTCTAGGCCATGCCTGTGGAGTGGAGCAGGCACATATAGTTTGACTTGTTGAGAAGCTGTTTTATAACAACTAACCCTTATTGTGCCCCAGTGTGTCACTCCATAGCTGTCAGTGTCCGGATTCTGTTTATTTGCTTTTGTACTTAAATAAGGGTCTGAAGAACAGCGCCACTGGCACTTGCCTGTTTCAGGATCTGGGAACCTTGGGAGGATGCAAAGCATCCTCCATAGTGAAGGGCAGAGATTCCAGAACAGGCAGGCTTAGGTATCAAAAACAATGTTCCCGCCTCAGTTCTGCCTGGCTTCCTATGTGATTTAGGAATGCACATCCTTTGCTATTCCTTTTTCTTCTTTCCTTCTCTTTCCTTTTGTTGTTATTCTTATGTTTGGTACTGGGGTTTGAACATAGAGTCTTGCTCTTGCTAGACCAGTGGTCTGCTACTTGACTCATCTCCCCCAGACCTTTTTCACTTTAGTTATTTTTCAAATAAAATTTCACGTATTCCCCTGGGTCTTTCTATTTATTATCCTCCCATTTATACTCTGTGTGGCTGGGACGGCAGACATATACCACAATACTAGGTATTAATTGGAGAGATCTTGCTAACTTTTTGCTCAGGTTGGACTTGAACTGTGATCCTCTTGCTGTGTTTCAGGCACAGTCAACTCTGGGTATCAAGTTGGTTCTGCATCTACAGATTCTACCAACCACAGACTGAAAATAGTCAGAAAACAATTGTGTCAGAACTGGACACGTACAAGCCTTTTCCTTGTTCTTTTTGTTCTCTAAAGAGTACAATATGAAAATGACTTATTATATTACTTACATTGTATTAGGTATTATAAGTCAGGGAGAGAAGATTTGAAGTATACAGAAAGAAATTTTTAGGTTATATGCAAATACCATGCTGTTTTATATAAAGGACTTGAGCATTTGCAGATTTTAGTATCGGTGGGGGGTCTTGGAAACAATCCTCCATAAATACCAAAGGATAACTGTAATTAAATAAAGGGAACAGCTAGAGGTTTCTGGTATAAATAAACTTTTTTCAGAGAGACCCCCTCATTGAGGACAGCTGTCTGTCATATCACCCTGGGCAGCAGAGTTGTCCTTGTGTCCAGCAATCTGTGGAATCAATGAGAATTTGGCTCCCTAAGTTCTCAGAGTTGTGTTTTCCAAGCAAGAAATTCTTGGAACACACTTAGTCTGTCCTGGGAAGTTTAGCTTGTTGGAGAATAAGATGAGTACTCTGCAGTTCAAGAGAAGTGAAAGAAAACAAGCAAAATAGGAAAAGTGAAATGGGCCAAGGCAAATGTAGGAGGGGAGCACACCCAGCTGGGACACTGCCCTTGGGTGATTGGATAGATTTGCTCACCGACGATTAGATAGGAAGATTGAGATGCAAATAGAGGTTGTCTTTCTTTCTCTGCGCTACCTACCACAGACAATAGATGGGTGATTGACAAAAGTAGACTTGGAGCTAAAGTAGAAAAGGTACTTGTAGCAAGAATCCTTGAACTCAGAAAGGGTGGAATCTGGAAATGAGCAGCAACATCTGGTGCTGAGGGAAAGAAACAGGTGCATCTGCAAATGTGGAGGGACAGAGGAGAATGTGAAGGGAAAGGAGACAGACCAGAGCAGACATAGCGATCTCCTAACAATTAAGTATCTGCTTTGGCTCCCTCGAAGCCTGCAGCCATTCTTTTGGCCACTAGGTGTCGAAAATGCATTGGGTACAGCACATTTTCTGGTTCATTGAGTTGTTTGTACAGGAGTTTAGGGAAACTGGGTTACAGAATGGATGAAGCCAGCAAGGAGGTATTTCTAGGGCCCATCTGGTTCTCAGAGCTGTGTTCTCCAAGCAAGGAATCTTTGGAGCACACTCAGTCTGTCCTGGGAAGTTTGGCTTGATGGAGAATAGAATGAGTAGGAGAAAAAGATAATTGCACATGACCCAAAATGTGCAGAAGACAGAGAGCTCTTTCTACCAAGATCCATGAGGAAAAGTTGACTGCATTTTCTATTTGTGCATTGTTTTGCAAGTTTGGGAGGTTTTCAGTGTGAAATCTCTGCCTCGAACTTTTCCCCGTTAAAACATTAGCCAACTTGTGTTCTGGAAGTAGAATAGAAAAGTGGAATTTACTCTATAGGATTCTTTCTATAGGCAACGAGTGTATTCCACAGGATATAGAATATCTGTTAGCTTATGTAATAATAAGCCTTTTGCTGGCAGATCCACATACTTAACTGAGAAATTTATTTGTATGGAGGATGTTATTTATAAGAAGGATGTTCCCTAAGGAGTCAGATGAGTATGCGGGGTCTTTCCCACTACTAGGATGGGAAGATACAGAATCACCACTCACAGGTCTATAGAGCACAACTGAGGAAGAGCCAAGCTTCCCATTGCCTCTGGGCTATGTTCACCCTTTGTAATTTTCTCTTTATCAGCTCATGCCTGGTGCTTAGTAGGGACTTGATGATGATGGTCATGCTGAAGCTGCTAGTAATCACAATCAGCGTTATTTCCAGTACTCAGAGTTTGTGCAAAAAAGAAGTGAGGGTGTTCAGTGTGTGTGCTGGGAAGAGGGCAGGGACAGGTATGGTGCAGCACCCAGGGGAAAGGCCGAGAGAAACAGTGTAGACTGGTGGTTTCTCACACTCACCTGTCCCCAGGTCATGAAAACCTACCACATGTACCATGCGGAGAGCATCAGCGCAGAAAGCAAGCTGAAGGAGGCTGAGAAGCAGGAGGAGAAGCAGTTCAACAAATCAGGAGAGCTCAGCATGAACTTGCTCCGGCATGAGGACCGGCCCCAGCGCCGCAGCTCTGTGAAGAAGATTGAAAAGATGAAGGAGAAGGTGTGTGTGTGAGGGGGGGGGGGAATCTCCCAAGTGGGGCATACAAAGGGGAGAATCAGGCACTTAGCTGACAGCTTTAACCCTTCCCCTTTGTATGAGGTCAGTGTCTTGAAGGAAGCAGGCTGGCCACACTCCTACTAGTGCTGGTTAGGCCTGGCCAGGACTCAGCCACCAGAGAACAGAGGCACTTAGCTGACAGGAATTAATGTATATCAGGGCTTGTTTCAGAAGACAGTTGGGTGGCTGGGGTCAAGGACAAGGGCCAATTGGAACTTGGCATGTCCCAGCAAGAGAGAACAATACTGGGGTGAATCCCTGAGGACCTGCTTTGGGCAGAACTATCCTGGGCACTGCAGACCCAACAGTAACAAACAAGGCAGTTCTCATCACTGATTTCTTAGTTTCCTGGTGGGAGACACTGATGGGCTGACAGTCAGGAGGTTTATGGAGAGGTGGTGGGAAGGCCTCATGAAGAAAACACTGAGTAGGCAAGGGCATGGGGGACATTTTAGATAAGCTTGTCACTTTAGACAAAGTTCTCAGTTGCTGTTGAGAAAATCGCAGACCTCCCTGTTGGATGGCTCAGCTCTGATACCTGCTCTTTCTCCTTCCAGAGACAAGCCAAGTATTCGGAGAACAAGCTGAAATGCACAAAGGCCAGGAATGACTACCTACTAAATCTGGCAGCCACCAATGCTGCTATCAGCAAATATTATATCCACGATGTCTCCGATCTCATTGATGTGAGTTCCCTGGGGAGCTGGGGGCTGAGCGGGGCTGCACCTCATCAGCTGAGGGGTCAGCCTTGATCTTCTGCTGACAGTGGAGGTGCTCAGGCTTTTTGGAGCCCTGCTGGAGCAGAAGAGCAGGAAGTGTTTGCAACTAGGTCATGATACCTTACTGGTTGCTACTTCCATGGGTGGAAGGTGAGCATTGCCAGATCCTCACAGTTGTCTTGACCAGTCATGTATTCAGTGAGAACTTCCCACACTGCCTCTGCATCAGGGCCTTTGCTGGGTGTGGGAGAGTCACACACAACACTCTGGGGACTTCCTAGGATGCCAGTGAAGGGTCCAACCTGGGTCCCCTGGGTCCAACCAGCCAGGCACACAGCATGGGAAAGGAGATGGTGACACAGGTCAGCCTTGTGTGGGGACGTTGCCGTGGGAACCAGGTAGTTTGCAGAGGGTGAACACGGACTCAGCAGTGCCAGTTGTGCGGGGCTGTCAAGAGGACACCTGGGCTTGGAGGAAGGACACTGATGGGGGCAGTGACAGGGAGGGCCTCTACGTCCACTCTGTTGGAGCAGCAGCTCTCTCTCTCACCTCTGCTTCCTGAGCAGATGGGAGATCTTCCCCTGTAGATGCTTACTTCGTTTAAGGCTCAGCACTGGTTGCTCTGGCCCTGTTATGTGCTGTTCTGGAATTTGTGGGGAGGGGGGCAGTCACTGCTTTTCCTTGGCTGTAGAAGGGACCCATGATCACCATTCAAGCTTTGGGGGAACCTCTGCAGCCAGGCTTTGAGTATGGAGAACACCAAGGAAGGCTTCCAGAGGAAGGGGCTTAGAAAACAAATGCCAAAAGAGGAACTTTTGTGTTAGAAGAGATACACGTGTGAAATCTTGGAGATAAAAGGGTAGTGGTGAACTTGGGCAGCCAAAAGAAGCTCTACTGTTGCCCAAATCTCAGCCCCCGTCCCCTCCCCTGCATTCTTTGAAGGCTTTGGGTGGTTTGTGTGGTAGGTAGCTTCCATAGTGCTCTAAAGTGAGCATAAGTCACTGTCCTGGCTCTCATCCCTACCCCTGCTATTGTTGCCTCTCCCCAAGTGCTGTGACTTGGGCTTTCATGCCAGCCTGGCGCGCACCTTCCGGACCTACCTCTCTGCTGAGTACAACCTGGAAACCTCTCGCCATGAGGGGCTGGATGTCATTGAGAACGCAGTAGATAACCTGGACTCCCGGAGCGACAAGCACACGGTCATGGACATGTGTAACCAGGTCTTCTGCCCCCCGCTGAAGTTTGAGTTCCAGCCCCACATGGGGGATGAGGTAAGTTTTCTGCAGGGGTTCATGCCTGTAGCTGAATCTTAGTTGGGTTTCTGTGGCTGTAACAAAGTGCCTGATGCTGTATTACTTAGAAAGAACAGAGGTTGCTTTGGCTCACAGTTCTGGGAACTGGGAAGACCAAGTGCACAGTGCCAGCATCTGGTAGGAGCCTTCTTGGTCTATCATATAGTGCTGCAGGGCACCACATGGTGCTACAGCAAGTGTGTGAACTTGGGTCTCTTCTCACAAAGTTACCAATACCCATCCTCATGAGCTTTTCTGATTCTGATTGTCTGCCAGAGGCCCCACATCCAAATACCATTACATATGGCTTTAGGGGTTACATTTCTTACCTGTGAACTTATGAGGGACACATTGACAACACATCTGTGTCCATGCTCTCCCATGTTGGCAGGGCATGGATGGAAGGAGGACAGTAGCCCTGGGTGCATATCAGAAGCCTGGGAACTGGTTTTTGGTTCAGAGCTTCTCCAGCAAGGGGGGGGCGGCAGGGGAACCACCACTGATATTTTTGTTTTGCTGACTCAAGTGCCTCCCCTATAGAATCGCAGGATCTCAGCTTCCTAACCATCCCTCCCTAGCATGTGTGGTAGATGCCAAGGCTTGGAACCCAGGCTTGCGCGGAAAGAGTCTTGCTCTTCCTGGGGTACTTCACACCACAGCGGGCTTCACAGCCACTCCAGCCACACCTTTGTCAGCGTCCTGCTGCCTCCAGTGCTGTGAGCCCTTGACCTTCCGGACAGCCAAGTTTCCTTCAGGGCCTGTGCTGCTCAGTGTCTTAATGTAGCCTGAAAATGACAAGAATAAAACATGGGAAGACATGATATTACTCTCCCCGTTACAGTACTATAAGTTCCATAAAATCTCTGATGCAAATAGCTTTCTGAGCTTTTCCAAATCATTCCTCCCTCTGGGATTTGAGGGGACCCAGACCAGCAGGGTAGCAGAGCCAGCTAGCCTTTGCATCCCAGTGGGAGCACAGCTGGCCCATCCACATATCTGATGATTGGGGGTCGGGGAGGCAGAGGCATCTTAAAAGATGGCATGTGCTGTGCCCTCTGCACAGCTCTATCCCACTTCATTTGCAGGTGAGAGCAGTGCCGCTGCTCCTGTCACATTCCTCTGTCCTCGTGTCTGCCCTGTGGTCCATCGCCGAGCCTGAAAATGCTAGTCCAAGGCTGCCACTGGTCACTGTGAAGTTGGGTTGGCAAAGCTCTACTTTTTCAGCAGAGCTCCGCTAGTCCTTGTGATCTTAGCTGTGTTCCTAGAAGAGTAAAATCTTAAAGCACACCAGCTAGCCTTGCCTACAGATAGTAGCAGAGTCCTGGACAAAAGTCGTAGGGAAAATAGTGCAGCCAGTATCCATGGGAGACTGGCTCTAGGAGTGCCTCTGTGGATACGCTCAAGTGCCTTATATAAAATAGCACCATATCTACATATAACCTGTACTTCAAATTATGTCTAGATTACTTACAATACCTAAGTAGACACTGCAACAGTAATTATTGTACTGCATTGTTTAGGGGATAATGAAGAAAAAGTATGTGCATATTCAACAATTTTTCCATCTTTGGTTAGTTGAATGTGTGATGTGGAAACCACAGACAGAGAGCCAACCGTGCTTTCTCAGCCTTCCCTCCTTCCCCTTACCCATCAACCAGCTATGAGAGTGTATAGCCTTGCTATATGCTTGCCTCTCTTGACACATCTTGTCATGTTCTTATGGGCAACAGGAACACTCTATTGATCTTTCCTTTCTCTCCTGCCTTCTCTCCTTTCCTCCTTCCCTCCCTTTCTTCCTTCCTTCTTCCTCTCATTATTTTTTGTTTTGTTGAGGCAAAGTCTTGTTGTATAGCCCAAGCTGACCTCAGCTTGTTGAATGCTGGAATTATAGGCATGAACCACCATACCTCGCTCAGGCACTTGCTTGCTTTCTACAACTTCCTGCCTTGAATTCAATGAATTCGTTTCACTTAATAAAGGTATGCTGTATCTCTTTGTAAGCCCACAATCATGGCACACATGAAGAAGATCGTGACTGAGAAGGCACCTTGAGAGACCACCTTGGTCTCTGGAATACGAAGAGCCTGGCTCCCATCTGGCCACACATAGGCTAAGTGCCCAGGGACAGGTCACCTCACCTTGCTGAGCCTTTATCCTTGGCTATAGAGAGGATGTTAATGGTGGCCTCGGTCCTGGTCCTGGAAGATGAGGAGGCCCTGGGCAGCTGCAGTTATAGCAGGTTTCTTCCTGCAGGTGTGCCAGGTCAGTGCACAGCAGCCGGTGCAGACGGAGCTGCTCATGCGGTACCACCAGCTGCAGTCCAGACTGGCCACACTCAAGATAGAGAATGAGGAGGTAAGTGAGGGTTTCCACATGGCCTGGCTTGTTCTGGGGAGTCCATCTGTGCTGTAGAACAGGCATGAAAGGATGGGTGATCTATAAGAGACAAGGATACACTGGACATCTGAGTCCCTTGGTCATCACAGCACGCCCCAAGGTCCTTCTGGCAGAATCAATGCAATAATGGCTAGAGATTGGGTATCCCAGCTTCTCACCCAGCCAGCTATATAATCTTGGACCAATGAGTAATTTGTCTTACTTTCCACAAGGCTGTAATGGGGCCAGGGCTCATCTTGGGCCTGCCTGCCTTCTAGGAACTTTATGTGAAAGAGTAAGGTAAATACTGGGAAAAGGACTTTGGAGTGTTAAAGGCTTGAGGAGAATAAGGGGATCTTGGGTACACTATGTTTCTCCAGGTTAGAAAAACCCTGGATGCCACCATGCAGACCCTGCAGGATATGCTGACCGTCGAGGACTTCGACGTCTCCGATGCCTTCCAGCACAGCCGGTCTACAGAGTCCGTGAAGTCCGCTGCCTCTGAGACCTACATGAGCAAGATCAATATCGCCAAAAGGAGAGCCAACCAGCAGGAAACGGAAATGTTTTATTTTACGGTCAGTGGCATCCTGTGCCCACAGCCCCCACTGTTTGCTGACCCCCTTGCTTGTGACTTTGGGGAGAAGCCTGAGTAAATGAATCAGCAAAACTCTATGGGTTACTTAGACCTGAGGCTAAGAACCTTCCAACGTGCTTTTTTTTTTTTTTGTTGTTGGGTCATGGGGCTTGAACTCTGGGCCTGGGCGCTGTCCCTGCATTCTTCAGCTCAAGGCGAGCACTCTACCGCTTTAGCCACAGCACCACTTCCAGTTTTCTAGTGGATTATTGGAGATAAGAGTCTCACGGTCTTTTCTGCCCAGGCTGGCTTTGAACCATGATCCTCAGATCTCAGCCTCTTGAGTAGCTAGGATTGCAGGCGTGAGCCACCAGCACCCGGCCCAACATGCTTTTAATATTAAGTTGTCTGGCTTGGTTTTCTGAAAAGCAGAAAGTCAATTAGTATTAGCATTGACCTTGGGTGATGGTTGCTCAAACTTTGCTGCCCTAGAAAGAAACCGAAGAGAGAGTTTTATTCAAATCAGGTACAAAGAAAGTGGCTACCAAGTTCGACATAAGCTCCAACTGATGTGTACATGTTACATTTTGGATATAAGCTTTGGAACTAATGTCCTCAGCAACCCAAGCCAGTTGCTTCTGTGTTTCCAGCACCTTCTGTAAGATTCCAGCTGAGTTACTTTCCAAGCAGAGGCAAGCAGAGGCAAGGAGAAGGGAACTGATCCTTTAGTTCAACATAGGCTTATTGAATGTAGAGCATGCAGGTAGTAGGGGACCAGTCTTCCATCTGATCCACTTCCCCGGAGGTCATCTGATCCACTTCCCCGGAGGTCATCTGATCCACTTCCCCGGAGGTCATCTGATCCACTTCCCCGGAGGTCATCTGAGCTCTGTTTAAATGTCCTCAGGATTAAAAACTTACTCCTTCTCAGAGTACCCCTTTTGTTTGGATGGGGGCTGGCTTCAGATATTATGATGTTTCTCTTTGTCTTTGTTATCTTCAAAAATCTACTACAGTAGGATTTCTGGCCATTGATCTTGGTTCTGTTCTCTGACATACAGAAGACCCAGAGTGGGTGAATTATACATGTCTTTCTGTGGTTGCTGGGAGCTGGGTTTTTATTTCTCCAGGATAAATGCACCTATCTTTCAGTCTTACCTTACAAGCTTTTTTTTTTTAAAGTAACCTCTGTATCCTAGTAACTCTTGAATGTGTTCCATTTGCCAATGTGCCCTCTAAGTGAGACTCCTAGCTGGGTGTGGTAATGTATGCCTGTCATCCTAGCACTTGAGAGGCTGAAGCAGGAGGATCTTGAGTTTGAGGCCAGCTTAAGCTACAGACAAAGACTGTCTCCAAAACAAAAAGGTGAGACTCTCATTAGTGGTCTGGCTAGCACAGAAGAGTGGATATCCATTCCTTCCGTACAAGGAACCATACTCTGTTCCTGAAACCTAAGATTACATTCTTTGTTTCTGTTATGTTAAAGCTAATATCAGCCAGCTTTCTTCTTTGTGTACAGCTAGGCCTCCATCCTCTTAAAGGTCCTTTAGGTAACACCTTCAGTAGGGTCTTACATCTGCTTCCATTTAGTTATCTTCCTAATGGATTCCTTTTATGGTTCTAGATTGTCAGTGTCCTCCATCCAGTTATCCAACCTTCCTATTCTCCTTGCTGATCTTATATCCTGAGCAGATTTAAGGAGCATGGCCTTCATGCAATGCTGTCAAAAATATAATTCATGGGCCAGGGCCAATGCCAAAGGCAGGTTGTTGGAAACATGCAAGTAGGCTGCCTGTGCTGATTGGCTGATTGGACTGTGCTCATTTAACCTATCAGCACTTACCCTCCTCTGACATCCAACTCTACCTTGTGATACCGAATTCCTATTGAGGCCAATCATTGGCACATACGGTACTTCTTCTGCCAGTGTTCTTTGATCTTAAGAGAGGAAGCAAAGCTTATTCCCAAAAGTCAGCCCATGCCATTCCTGGCATTCACCACTTCCACATGGAGCCCAGGTGTTCACAAGAGAATGTGTGGACTACAGAGATGAGAGGAGAGAATATGTATATGAATAGTAATTCACTTTTGTAGTAGAAGCAAAGAAATCTGGGCAGCAGAAGGAAAGAAGGGGCTTCAGCCTTCTTAAAGTTAAAATAATTATATAGTGTGTCTGACTAACAGTTATATTTGACTAAGATGTTATATTTTTCCAGGCCCTGGTGGCTCATGCCTGTAATCCTAGCTACTCAGGAGGCTGAGATCCGAGGATTGCAGTTCAAAGCCAGCCTGGGCAGGAAAGTCCATGAGACTCTTATCTCCAATAAACCACCAGAAAACCAGAAGTGGCACTGTGGTTCAAGTGGTAGAGTGCTAACCTTGAGCTGAAGAGCTGAGGGACAATATCCAGGCCCAGAGTTCAAGGCCCACGACTGACCAAAAAAAAAATTATATTTTCTTCTTAAAACTCAATTTATCAACTTGGTTGCCTGGCATGACTCCTTACAATTTTTTGTTGTGACATTATTTGGGGTCTTTTAAGGACATAATTTTTCCTTAATGCAAACAATTTTTTTTACTCGTGGGGGTTAAACTCGGCTTGGGTGCTGTCTCTGAGCTCTTCAGTGTAAGACAAGAGCTCTGTCACTTGAGCCACAGTGCCACTTCCAGTTTTCTGGTTGTTTATTGGAGATAAGAGTCTCCTGCCCAGGCTGGCTTTGAACTACAATCCTCATAGCTTAGCTTCCTAAGTAGCTAGGATTACAAGCATGTGCCACGGGCACCCAGCTCATTCTTACAATTTGATGGCATTTTTTTGTGTGTGGGGGGGTTACATGGGTGATGTCCATAGACCACAGGACTGCAAGCTTTTAGTTTCTTTAGTCAGTAAATCATCTGCCAAAGCATGAGTTCCAAGTTCATGATTAGAACTTTACCCTAAGGAGACTCAAAAGAATGATGGACAAAAGCCTGCTTACACAATAGTTCTTCTATTTAAAATCAGAGGGTTTTCAGTATGATGGGAGGCATCTTTGAAAAGCTTTGGGTCAGTCGTTACCAAATTGAAACATTCCTGTGAAATTTGAGATGCCTGTTTAAAAACACAGGCATTGCTGGGCACCGGTGGCTCACACCTGTAATCCTTGCTACTCAGGAGGCTGAGATCTGAGGATCAGGGTTCAAAGCCAGCCCAGGCAGGAAACTCCATCAAACTCTTATCTCCAATAAACCATCAGAAAACTGGAAGTGGTGCTGTGGCTCAAGTAGTAAAGCACTAGCCTTGAGCTGAAGAGCTGAGGGACAGCACTCAGGCCCAGAGTTCAAGCCCCACAACCGATTAAAAAAACAAACAAAACAAAAACACAGGCATTTAGACAACCCCCTCCCTGAGATGGGGCTCTAGACATTTACCTGCTTCTGGGTCTCTGTGGTCCCTCCCTAGGTGAGACGTGAGGGCTTAGACTATAGGTATTGCAGAATCTGCTAGGTGATGAAGTTTCCAGTCAATCATCTGCCCACACTTGGAGACATACCACGAGTCTACTTATTTTCCACCAAGGACCATGTGGAAGCCTGGAAATGGTCAATATTCTGTCCTAGGTCACAGTGAGGAGTTACAGTCCTGGAAGCATGCTAATGCTTATACAGTTTGTTCCCTAAGGTCATGAGGAGGCCCGTGTGTGTGTGTGTGTGTGTGTGTGTGTGTGTGTGTGTGTGTGTGTGTGTGTGTAAGCATGCTAATGCTTATACAGTTTGTTCCCTAAGGTCATGAGGAGGCCGTGTGTGTGTGTGTGTGTGTGTGTGTGTGTGTGTGTGTGTGTGTGTACTATCAGGGGTTCTACAAAAACATCCAGGAAGTGTCTCTTCCAACAAGCAAGGATCCAGATCTCCAGAGATAAGAAGAAACCCGGAAGAGGAGAGAAGAACATAGCTATGAAGAACATAGCTATCCAGCCAACTGGTCATGCCAGAATACCACTGGGATTGGCAATGTGAACAACCCCAATTTAATTTGTGTGTACGTCAGCTCCCTTCCCCAAGAGCCTTTCCTTGTGTCTGTCTTGCACAGGAAGAGGGTAACATTGGAGACATTACTCCGCAGGGGTCCTGGTCTTCCACAGCTGGCATCACTCTGCCCCTGTGAGCGCGCACTGACCCAAGTAGTTCATTGGATTTCTGGGTGAGAGATTGTCTGGTAGATTGGAGCTGTCATACCTACCTCCTTACCTTCCTTCTCAGAGCTTCTGCAGTTGCCATGTTCTTTTGCTGGCCAAGCCATTCTCCTCCCTGCCAGAAGCTCAAATGCAGTGATTTCTGCCCAGTCTGCCTAGATTCCCAGTCCACAGTTTGTGTTTAGTTGGCGTTTTGCTTACTTTGTGGTTCATAGGGGCTGTCTTGGTCTCTGTGTCTCATGAGGTGGGGGATCAGTTCAATTCTCAGCCCAAAGCATTTCACAGGGCCACAAAGGCATCCCCATTAGGGCTTTGGATGGGACTGGGAAGCAGAGGCTGTTTTGTTCTCCAGATGGCACTCCATCCCTCGGTGCTACTCTGCAGTGCTCTGAGCTTGGCAAGAACTGTGACCTAGCTAGGACCTGGCCTGGCCTGCTATTGGCTTTCCGTGGCAACTGGGCAAATCATTTTCTTGTGCCTGCGTCCTTGTCTCATCCATACAAAGAGAAAAACCTATTACCCAGTACAGGCTTGAGCTTCTTTTAACTGAAACATCTCTTAGCAGCCTTGAAGAGCTCTTACTCCTTCAGAGCTAGGCAGATGAAAGAAAGACTTGTTTCATGGCTTCTCCCTGGCAGCTCTCAGGCCTCAGCTTCAGGGGCCCCTGGACAGTCCTCATCTTTATTGCTATTGGCCCAGAAGCACAGCAGAGCTTTGATGACCAAAGAAGTATTTTGCCTTGTATGGAGGGCTGCCCTCACCTGACAAAAGCTGCCTTCATTGCTGCCATTACCCTAGGTTTCCTTTGTGTTTCTGAACCCTACCTGAAAGGCCTGGAGTCCCCCCAAGGACTAAGTAGCCATTCAACAGAGCTTGGAGCAGACACAAAGGCCTCTATTTCCCATTCCAGGTCCCTGAGTCTGGCCTGATTTCCCTTTGGCCTCCCCACCACAGAGGTCAATTCTGGAAGCAGGGACCTCATTGCTAGGGAGGTGGTACTACAAAAAAAAGTTACATTTTTACATTTCTACATTTGAAGTGAAAGTAAAACATTGGTTAAAGGGAAAGCATCTAACAATTACTTGTTGAATTTCAGGTTAATGATTTAGCCAAATAAAAATGACAAATGCATCCACATGTCACTATTTTACTGCAAGCATGACTGTTTGGTGCCTCGTGTCTTACAGAAATTTAAAGAATATGTGAATGGCAGTAACCTCATCACTAAGCTACAGGCCAAGCATGACTTACTCAAACAGACTCTGGGTGAAGGTGAGTCTGGGAGTGGGGGTCCCTGGTGGGGTTGTGTTTTCCACTGGATCTTCTGATGGCCTTGAATCTGTTGAGCAGCTTAAACTTATGAGCTTGAACTGCTTAAACTGTGCACTTAGCAACGTGAGGCCTGGTGGTGCTGGACCCACCTGCCACACTGGGAATGTTGAGAAAATTTATTGAGTGCAGAGCTGAGATGGAGGTAGTCTAGCTGCAGAAAATCAAAAGCAACCAACCACAAGCCTTAGTTTAGTCTGGGAAATATCCGAAGCCAAGTGATAGACATGCTGTGATAGGCAGGTATTCATATCCAAGGGCCCTGGCCTAGGTTGATGTTGTTGATCAGATAAAGGAGTACTAACAGAGTGCCTGGCCAGTGTTCAAGGCCCAGAAAAGGAAAATCCGTACATGTAAGGTAGGACTTAGTCCTTAAAGGAGCAGGGGACTAAGCTTCAAGGTGGAGAAGAGCTAATTGCAATGACCTTTTCCTTCATCTTTGTCTCTGCCTACCCATCCTGACATGTCAGCATTGGACCACATTTGGTAGGATGGGGGACTATAGAGAGGTGTAGATAATGGACAGAAGTAAAACAGGAAGAATAGTGCAATGGGAAAGGAAGTGACAGAAAGTCCAAGAACTGCTCTAAGTAAATGTATGCATACATATATATGTATATATGTATGTATGTGTACATATATGTATATGTGTATATTTTGGAGGGAGGGTAAGTGTGACAAGGCAACTTCCAAAACTATTAGTAAGAGTTGGTTTTTATGGTGCTAAGGCTGGGGGTTGTTTCTCATGAACAATGTAATGAAAGCCAAGCCCTATGAGCTTGTGGCTACTGTGTATTTTAAAACCAGATTATCTGGGTTTTGAAAACTAGATGCTCTTAAAAAAAAATAAAATCTAGATGAATCCTTGGCTTGGGGGGAAAAAGTATTCTGTTCAGCTCCTCCCTGAGCATTATCAGATGCAACCTCTCATTTCTGTCCTTGCCTGGATGGCCTTAATGAAATAATAATATTTTGGTTGGCATAACTCCTAGTTTTGGGTCCTCCAATTTCATTTAGCCTTTAACCATGTCTTGCTCAGAGATGTGATTAATCCGATCTCCCTTCAATGAGGTTTGAGCTGCTTATTAACAACAAAAGTTCCAGGAAAAAAATACAGCTTCACAAGTATCAGAGCATCTAAGAGCCACCTAGGGTCTCCATAATGCCATTTTTCTAGTGAGATGGCTATGGAAAAGTCCAGTGTACTGCCTTTGACAAATGGAATGGGTCTTATTAGACTAGACAGTTTGAGAGAAGGATCTCTTAATGAGCCTTTTATTTTAAAACAATTTTAGCTATGCAGAGAAATTGGAAAGATACTACAAAGTTCCCATATTCTCATTACCCAGTTTTCTCTGAATTAACATCTTATATTCTACGTGTATTTGTCACAATTAGTGAGCATTTTAAGTGATACATTTTTATTATTAGCTAAGTGAATAAATTACTGGATGATTAGAGTCTCACAGATTTTTTTCTGGCCCTTCTTGGGCTGACTTCTAATCTTGATCCTCAGATTTCAGCCTTCTGAATAGCTAAAATGACAGGTGTGATTTTCTGGTGCCTAGCTTCATTATTCATTTTTATACATCTACTACACAATGAAGGTATTTTATGGGTTCTCAGGGCTAATATCCTTTATATGCTTTATGTCTTCTGAGAGCTATTTTCTATTAGGAAGGATGAAGTAGAAACTATATAAATGAACAAAGCAATATAGAACAAAGCAATACTCAAACTACCTTATATTTAAAAAGACTTTAAAAATGAAATAAAGTATCATGTTTAGTGCATCCATTTCTCTAAAGTGTTCTTTTGATAGCATAACTCAAGGAAAGTACAAGTTAAAGGAAGCACAAGATCTTTCAGATCACCTATGTTTACAAGTGAATTTTTTAATGCATCTAGAACATCTTGAACCTAGAACACACTGCTAGGTGCCCAACAATATGATATGCTACTGGCATACCTTGGGAGTAAGAGTTAACATTCTATTCTGCCCTTGTCTATTGCCGTGCCATTTCATTGGTTAGAGATTTCTCAGTTTATCATCACCTCCGAGTCTTCTATCTATGACTTTTTATTGCTCTGAGGTCTGAGTATTCTGTAAGCTCCAGGCTTTAACCCAGGATGTGGGTGTTTTTCAGTTTACTGAAAGCCCTCAAGATGAATAGTGCATTGTCTATGAAAGGGATGGAGCTTCACTTTTTTGGGCCAAAAGCCACTAGGACCAGAAAATCTGTAGGAAATGACTGATGTGCCAATTATTTCACACACACACACACACACACATATATATATATATATATACCTCAAGTGTTCTGATAAGGTTAAGAACAGGGCTTTAAAACAATTCTCACAAGGGGCTGGGAAGATGGCTCAGTGGTAGAGTGCTTGCCTTGCATACATGAGGCCCTGGGTTTGATTCTTCAGCACCACATAATCAGAAAAAAAAAAAAAAAAGCCAGAAGTGGCACTGTTGCTCCGCATCACATAAACAGAAAAAAAAAAAAAGCCGGAAGTGGCACTGTGGCTCAAGTGGTAGTGCGCTAGCCTTGAGCTGAAAAGCTGAGGGACAGCACCCAGGCCTAGAGTTCAGGTCCACGATCGGACCCAAAAAATAAGTAAGTAAATAAAACAATTCTCACGAGTTTTAGATGTTGAGATCCCATGTTCCTATAGAATAGGTGATGAGTGCTAGAGAGCAGGAGGCTGAGATGTAGCATATGAGATTCCTTGCCAGAGAGGCTGCCTTGGTGTGCTGGTGTTCCATTCCATGCCCTAAAGCCTTTGTTTCCATCCTCCTCTTCTTTCCTTCCTGTTCCTCTCAGTCCTGTGAACAGAGGACATCCCACCTTCACAGCGTAGCAAATACACCCACCACCAGTAACAGGCATTTATGGTCTTTACCAGGTGTTGAACACTGATTATGTGTGCTATAGTTTTACATGACAGTGGGTAAGACTGCACCATCACCACCACAAGCATGACAAATGTATCACTACAAGGACATTATGGGAGCTGAGTGCTAGGCATTTTTCAGCTCCATTGTTGTCTTATGGGAACCACAGTATGTATAGGGTCCAACTTTGACTAAAATGTCATTTTGCAGCCCATAACCATACTGAGTAAAGAATTAATTTGTAGCTGGTGGCTCACACCTGTAATCCTAGCTGCTCAGGAGGCTGAGATCTGAGGATCATGATTCAAAGCCAGCCTGGGCAGCAAAGTCCGTGAGACTCTTATTTCCAATAAACCAGTAGAAAACAAGTGGTACTGAGGCTCAAGTGGTAGAGTGCTCACCTTGAGCTGAAGAGCTTAGGGATAGCGCCCAAGCCCAGAGTCCAAGTCCCATGACCGACCAAAAAAAGAATTAATTTGTGAGAAGTGTCATGATTGACAAGTTTCGGCTGATATATAGAGCCATTATTATATGTGAGGGGCATTGGGACAGAAGGTCTGCTGTCAGAGGTGGTGTCTCAGCAGAGCAGGAAAGCCAAGAAGGTGTCAGCCATGTGAGAAAAGAAAAGGGAAAGAGAGCAACATCTGCAGTCAAGAAAGGATATGGTAAGTTAGAACAATGAATGGTAGTGCTACTGGGCCACAGCAAGTTCACAGAAGAGTGGGTGGTTTGGGAATCAAGAGGAAGTGGAACAGGAAGTGGCTTCTGGAATCTACTGTCAGTAGACACAGTCAGCTGTTGCTCTGAGAGGAAGTGTGGATTTCATAGCCAGTGTTTCCTCTGAAACAATCCCAGGCCATTCTTGGACCCCTTTCATGGGATGCCATTGGCTCTACAGGAGGTCTTGGGTGTGTGTGAAAACTTAACCCAAATTGGTGTCTCCTAGGACTTTACTGCAGAATCTAGATAAGCAAATTAAGTAGAAAAATATTGCCTGTTACACCTAACTTCCCCACTTTTTATGCTTTTTGCTGTTTGGTTCAAGTTCAACCCACTGCAGTTACTTTGTAACTACTGGTAACTTTGGTTAAAAATTAAGGAACTGTGTGCCAGTTCATTCCAAGTTCAGCTTATTCTCTTCCCCTTCTCATTTCTTTCTCTCTGCAGCCCCATGCTGCCTTGTTTTCAATAGGGGGGAAAAGTGCTTGCTCTTTATGCATATGTGTGCCAGTCCTGGGGCTTAAATTCAGGGGGCCTGAGCACTGTCCCTGAAATTTTTTGCTCCAGGCTAGCACTCTGTCACTTCAACCATAGTTCTGAGTAGCAGTTCATGCTCTTAGAAGTCCCTTGGGCTCCAGGCTTTGCTCACATGGCACAGTGACAGCCAAACAAGCTTTCTGAGTGAAGGAAAAGTCTTGAGTTAAAATCCTTGTACCTCCAAAGGAAAATTTTAAAAAGATATTCCTTCTTAAGGAGTGTAGGGAGAGTGGTAAAGAGAATGAGTTTGATAAGGATGCATTGTATGTATGTATTGAACTATCAAGAAACCATCCTTATACAATTAATGTATGCTACAGATAACCATCCGTCCATCATCTATCCATCCATCCATCTATACATACATACATACATACATATATACATACATACATGCAAGTCCCATCTTGCCAGTGCTGTGTAGGATTTTAGAATCTAGAGCTATACTGCTTAGAGAAGTCGTCACTGGCCACATGTGACTCCTAGACACTCTAAACATTGATTAAGATGTCAGAAACATTCATTGAAATGAATAAAACAAACCTGAGGTTTGGAAGAGCTAGTATACCCAGAATATAAAATACTTTACTAGATTTTTATATTGATGCATATTGAAATGATACTGTTTGTTGATATGTTAGGTCAAATATTAAAAAATTAACCTCATTTGTTTCTCTTTATTTTTTTATAATACAGCTACTAAAAATTATGGCTTGCAGTATAGTTCTGTTGGCCAGCACTGGCCTAGAGGTTCTCAGTTAGAGGAAGTTATTTCCTTCTGGGGGCAGAGAACATACATGATGGTATTTTAAATATGCAGTAATGGAACAACAAATATTCATTCAACAAATATTTTTGAACGCATACTTTATGCCAGAAAATATGTATTTTATAATATATACAAAATATTATATAATACATAAAAATATATGTATTACAGCAGTTTTAAGAACAGATGTGATTCTTTCTCTCCTAGAACATAATGTTCTAGGAGATAGGCTGGCAGTAGACAAGTAAAATCAATGATAATCAGGGACATGAAGTAGGGAGAGGTGCTGAAAGGGAACCAGTGTCCACTTCAGGGGGATCCAGCTATGGAGCCAGCTTTTCAGGAGACAAGCAGGAGCCAGACCTGCAAGCATCAGGCAGGAGAACCCTAGGCAGCAAATGCAGAGGCTTCTTTGAAGACTGTGCAGAAGACAAGTAGAGCATTGTATTCCAAGACAGTGTGGTCCACACCAATGGAGTGGTCAGAGTAATAGAATAGATCTCAAAGGGTTCTGGAAGACATTATGAGGCTTGCATTTTATCTTGTGTACAGGAAGGTATGCTAAACAAGAGGATCTATAGGGTATGATTCAGAGTTCAAAAGTACTTCTCTGGCTGCTGAGTTATGGCTGGAGTGTAGCAGAATAGGAAATCCAGTTAAAAGAAAAAGAAAAAGAGATGATGGTGACCTGGACCAAGATGTTGAGGAGGGAAGTGGGTGGATTTAAGAAGGAAAGCGTTTTTAAAGCGAGTGGTGGCCCGTTTACTGAAAGGATGAAACTTGGTTAGGAGTAGGTTTGGGGCAGGCAGACAGAGTACTTTGCAGAGCACTGAGGTGTGAGAGACTAAGAGAGCAATTGGGTAAAGAAACTGTGGACATCCATACAGTGGCTATCGGTAACTCACAAAAAAGAGTGGTACTGAGTGCTGGTGGCTCACACCTCTAAGCCTAGACTACAGAGCTCAGAAGGCTGAGATCTGAGCATTTGAGGTTCAAAGCCAGAGGGGACAGACTGATATCACTAATTAGCCAGCCAAAAAGCCCAAACTGGAGGTAGAGCTAGACAGAGATGGGGCTCAAGTAGCAATCACCAGTTGTGATTGCCAGTGCAAAGCTTGAAGTACAAAATCTAGAACCAGCAACCCCCACCCTGCCAAAAACCAGACGAGCGAGTTACAAAATCATGCTATCTGGATGAATTTCAGAAACGCCTTAAGTGAAGGAAACCAGATGCAGAAGACTTCACATTAAATAATTTTGTGTATAATAATGTGCAGGCAAACTTTCCCAGTGGTTCCCGGGGGCAGGAGGTGGGAACAGAGTGACTCTAAGTGGGTACAAAGAATCTTCGTTTGGTTTTTGTTTTGAGGAAATGATGAATGTTCTCTGGAGGTGAAAAAAACCAAAACAAAACAATTAAACATCATATACTTTTCCCCCAGGAGAGAGAGCAGAATGCGGCACCACCAGGTGAGAGCTGGAGGACCTTGTTTTCTTGTTCCAGCTGCCTGAGGTCTGAGCGGGATGAGGTGGGGGAGAGGAGGGTAACGGGTTACCAGACGTTGGGGGGGGGTGGCTCACTGTTGCATGCCCTGTCCTGGAATTAGACTGATATAGCTGCACCCCCAGGCTGCACATGGGGGTCCTTTGCTGAGGATCAGTCATGCATTTCACCCTTGCACTGTGGGCTCAGTGGGAGGGTAAAATGGAGTCTGGGATGGCCAGTGGAGGGTAGAGGCTTGTAGGGTGGCTGTTTCCCTCTCTCCTGTCTGTTCCATGGCTGCTGAGCACACTGCCTAGGCTCGGTGGCCGGGCCCACCCTGGCCCCCTCTGCCAAGGCCTTGGGTGGTTGGCTGGTATTGCGCACAGCTAGGCACACGCATGCGCGTACACACAGTTGTGTGCCTGAACACCTGCACTGCCCACAAACCCGCTCTGCCCACACCCTAGCTTGGATGAGGCTGACAGAGAAAGTTAACACACAGGGACTTCTGCTTCCTCCCTCTCCAGCTTGTTCGGCATTTATTTCCCTTTGTGCTTTTCCCTGAGCAGACCAGAACCAGTGAGCACTTTCCATTGAGCCGCTGAGAGCGGCAAGCTGGCTTGCCCCTCCTTTCAGAGAGTCTGGCTCTTGAAGCAGGTGTCACCACCCAGGGATGATGTCCCAGCCAGAGTTCTCGTGCTGCCCAATGTGAATCCCGCTGCTGGACCCGAGGCCAGCAAGCCTGTTGCACTTTGCCCTGGGTGGCTGTTCGGAGCTACTTTTTGCCTCACTCTCTGAGCCCAGGGGACAACGTTCTTTCCTTCCACACAAATGCTTTCCAAGAGCCCAATATCCTAGAAAGCTGTCCTACTTGGCAAAAAAAAAAAGCAATGTAAAACCCTTAATTCTCCCCAGCTTCTTGGGAAGGGAGCGAGTGAGGCAGAGGCTTTCTGTGTGCTGGGTCCAGAGACACAGCCTCTCCAGAAACGCAGCCTGCGCACTGTGCCTCTGGGACGAGTTAACAGGGAACATGAGGGTGATTCATGCCAGGCGAGGGACTTCCCGCAGAGGCAGCAGCAGATGTGCAGGGTCACGTTCGAAGAACCTTTCAGAAACAAACTTGTTATTGTTCCTTTTTCTCTGGCAAGAAGATGTTGTTATAGTCCCTCCAAACAAGAGAAGCCGTATTTTACACTGAAGGCTGTAAATAGCAAAAACAGATGGGGGACCAATGGAGCCATTGCTCCCAGGAAGCAGAGCATGAGGAGATGGTTCAAGCAAAATCTGGGAGAAGAGATCTGTGATCCATCCCCTTGGCTGGGCTTCAGGCTGTATCTCAGGGAAAAGCTAAGGACAGACTTTTCTTTTTTAAAAATAAGCCCCTCTGAGATGTGTCTTCCACACCCTCTTTGACCTAGGGCCTGGGAAAGCCGTGCTCACATTAGTAGACCTCCCACTTAGATACCCTGCACTAAACCGAGGACCTTGTCCAATGCTCTCTTGGCTCCTGGCCAAGTTCACAAGCAACTTTGTTACTAAAGTAAAAGCTTCCCTTTACCTCCAAAAGTCATTCTTTAAAGAGTGGACATCACTGCCAACTTGGAAGTGGTTTGAAAATGAACCTGCGAGGCTTTGAGTGATATGTCTCTATACTCTAGCCCTCTGTGTCTTCCACAGACTCACACATGGTGAGCTCATCTGAGACCCATTATTTGGGCAAATTCCCTCAGACAAGTTGCTCTTGACCTTATCTGGATGGACTGGTTTTTGCATATGGTCTGCAACATGTTATATTTTCTCATGCTTAAAGACCTTATCTTTGAATGGCCCAAATTCTTAATAGACCTGAAATTTAGGCTGGCCAGATGTGAAAATACACTTAAAAAGTATATTGTCATCTGGGTGTGGTAGGGTACTCTTATAATCCCAGCATTTAGGAAGTAGAAGCAGGAAGATGAAGTCTAGCTTGGACCCTGTCTCAAAACACCAAAGGCTAGGGGTATAGGTTAGAGATAGGATGCTTATGTAACATATGCAAGTACAAGACCCTGGGTTTACTCCCTAGCACCATGAAAAAGGAAAAGGATATTGTAAATGGACAAGCAAGGTGAAAAGAAGAAGTTTTATTAAGCTTCAAAGGAACTTTGGCTTTCCTGACTTGGGTTGACATAGTCCCATGGTCTAGATTAGAGGTAAAATTATTTGACAGTGTGTCCAGATGTGATAAAGTTCACACCCAGGCACATCCTCCAAGAGCTGGACTGCCACTAAGCTCAATGGGGTTGCCACCATTTTGGCTATCGATACCACATTGATTGGGTTGCCCAAGGAAATTCTTAATCACCATTCTTTTTGACAGACTGATTTTGAGTCAACTCCTGTGTTGTCAACATATGCTGATTTTCATTTGTCTGGGTTGAAAGACAGAAAGGGGACATTGGTCTCTGGTTTCTCTTTCTTCCTCTCTGTGGCTTTCTCTGTTCCTGTTTTCCCTGCCTCTCTCTTTCTTTCCTTTTTTTTTGCTCTGCAACTGAGCAGCAGAAGAGATGGAAGGCTTAGGCTGCCCCACTTTCCTTGGCTGAGCTGCCCCCCTGCTCCCCACTTTGTGCCCCACCCAGCATTTCAGTAAGTCGATACAGATTTGATATCATGCAAAGAGTTGGGATAGCTACGTTTCCTTGTCAGATTCCAGTCGGTGCCAGAGTATGGTGAAAGAAAGAAATCCCAGTGGGATTAAAACTGCCCTTTGCTTTCTGGATTGGGCAGGAAAAAAATGAGAAAGCATATTCTATTATTGATTTCACTTTTTAAAAAAGTTTAAGCCCCAGAAATTTCTTAGGACTTAAACCCTCTAGTTGGGCATTCTAGGGATTTTGATACTGATTGTCTATTGTCTACACTAAGTCTGTATTTGTGCCAGCCATATGAATTTACCAGATAATTCAGTGGTACTGCTGGCTGTTTTATGATGAAGTCACTTTCTCAGTTATACACTCACACTGGGACTTTGAGTAGGAAGAGCTGCCTGCTCCCCAGCTTCTATTATATTTTATTTCTGTGACCCCAGAACTGTTTCTTAATCTCACGTAGCCTCATTTGCCTTAAGTGTAAAATGGGTTTAGTAATTGCTTTTTACTGTAATACACTTGTTATAAGGTTATACAATGTGAGATAAAGAAATGATCTGGAAATGTCAAACATTAGGAAAACCAGGTGACAATGTTTGCTAGTGTCCTCAAATTATTCCGTGTTACCAAACTTAAAAAACATCTATGCCCTTCAGTCACATTTTTGGCTTTTGCATTTGGAAATTCAAAAGCAGATCCATTGTATGAAATCTCACCTCTCTGTTACATATAGACATCTTCACAGAATAACTAGTTTTTGAAAAAGAAATGACATGGACTTAGCTAACCAAATTGTTATAAAGCCAATATGGGCTGGATATATATAATCTTGCCTGTTGTTTCTCCTCAAAATTTTTGGTCTGTGCTGTTATTTTGGTTCCATTGTTTGGACGGCATGCTATTTGGACTCAACTATGTCTTTACCAATGCATGGCCTTGGAGCTGGCAGCATTTGCTCAACACTCAGACACCTAGAAGAGGTTAGCTGGGGTTCCCTATGTGGCTGGGTTGGTGAAAGAGACATGTTCAACGAGCCCCCCAAAAAAGCCCTCACTTATCATGAGCAACTCCATGGTCCATAAGATTCTTGTCCAATTACAGAGATCAGTCAAGACTAGGGGGACAGGTCTTTGCTTGTCACATGTAGATATTATTTGTGCCTAGCTGAGTCTCCTTTGTTGCTTCCCAGATTTTGAACCACACCATTTGAAAATGAGCAGCTTCTCTTGGTTAGGGAACCTCCTACTAATTTTTAAAAGCCCTGTGTTCCAAAGGCTGGCAGAACTAAGTTAGGCCACTTTGGGTGATGGAATGAGCAAATAAGCCAACACAGGCATATGCATGGTGAAGAATTCTGGAAATGGGTCTAGTGTTTGTGGGTGTTTCATTGTTCCTGGTGAACTGTGGTGTAGTTTTCCTTCCCTGTGGGCAAGAGTGGAACATGGGGAATGGAGATCCTAAAGTAAAGCAAGACACTTTCAACCTGACCCCATCACAAAGATTGATGGGATAGCTGAATCTTCATCTAGAAATGACAAGGTATACCAAGGCTTCATGACTGTGTGACCCAGTATGAAACACCCTGGCCTTGAGCCAAGATGACTACATTTCAGACCTGTCCATTCTGATCTTTGGACCTCTGTTTCTGCCAGTAAAATAGGGCTCTAGACACAGAGTTGATAATATGTTAATGTGGAAAGGGAATTGAAAGTTTTTAAGTTGACTAAAGAACAAAGTATCACCATCCTGAGTCACCCAGGGACACCAGAAATGCTGCTGCCACCTCTCACTGTCACTTTCCTCATCTCTGGAGTGAGAGTAATTGTCTGTCTCTCAGATCAGTGAAATAGTGAGTAGTCAAGTCCATTTGGAATGCCAAGAGGCATTAGGAAGATGAGAGCCCAGCAACATTGGGAGTTGAGACTTAGTGATGGATTTCAGCCAAAATAATGAAAATCAAACTTTCAAGTCATTGAAAGTGTCTTGCTTTCTTAAACTCCTGATGACATCTTTCTTCACTGATCCCCGCCCTCCATCTGGTCAGCTCTGCAGGATGACAATCTCTGATTGGAGTTTTAGTGGTTTCTTGGACACATACTATCCCCTCTGCCCATAATTTACAATGCATTTGTGTTATGTGAATGTTGATCCTGCTTGGCATTATGGGTAAATTTAGATCTCCTAAAACATCCAAAGGCCTTCAGATGGAACATTGGAACCAATGTGTTGGGGGGCCAGGGACTTCCATTTGCATTTTGTGTTCTCAATTATGGGTTTTAAGAGCATCTTCCTCAGTTGTGTGTTTATGTTGGTTGCTTTCTTGATTTCTTTTGTTCCATTTTCCCCTAGGCCCCCCTGTCTTCCCCCTAAACCACAGAAAATGAGGAGACCTAGGCCTCTTTCAGTGTATAGCCATAAACTCTTTAACGGCAGTATGGAAACGTTCATTAAGGTACTTTCTGGGGAGCCGTGGAGTCCGCAAATGCACCCAATGTAATGGCAGCCTCTATTCTCCTCAGTTGACAGTCCTGTCCTAACAATAACCTGCATCCAGCCAGGCCCTCTTGAGCTAGCTCCTCACTAAACCTGGTGTTAACTTCAGTGAGGACTTTTCCTCAGAGCTGCTTTGCCTCAGGCCAGTTGCTCGTAAGTCCTGTCCATGATTCTCAGCCCTAGGGGGAAAGATCTGGTCAGTGAGATCCAGGTGAGCTTGAACCATCAGTGTAGTAGTCCCAGCCAGCCATCTTCATCACTACAGTCCTAGTACTAGAGTAGTACGAGTCTAGTGCTACAGTCCTAGCACTAGAGGGGAAGTTGAGGAATCCCATCATGTAATGGCATACACTCGTCATCCAAGATTGAGAGTAACACAGAGGAAAACCTGCAGGTCGACTGTTTCTATACAAGCGATTTTTTTGTTTAGTTGAGCAAATTCTTACAAATGAACCATGTGCAGTTTGTGTGAGAAAAGTTCCTCTTTTTGGATTTTTCTTCTTGCTAATTGATTTGGGAGCTGGCAGAATAGTTGAGGTAGTCCCTTCAAGGATTCTAGGTTAACCCTTTATACCAAACCTAAACTAAAACAACAACAACAAAAAAAGTAGGGTTTCAGCTTGCTAAGTTTCTCTTTTCTCGTTTCCTTGATGTGAAGCGTACAAAATCAAGCATCTCAGAGAGAATGGTTAAAGACTTAGATAGTGATGGAGTTGCCAAGAAAAGCAAGTGGGAGATACCTGAGGAATGGAGGTGCATTTTTAATATTACTTAAGGGAGTGGAAGAGGGAGACCTTGCCATTTATTTGAGGATCTTCATCAGCCAATGAAGATACTTTCTGCCGGAAAATAAAAGGCTCCTGTCAATCAGGAGAAAAGTCAAAGCTCCAGGGCATTACTGATGATTTGGAATCATGAGGCTGTCCCTGCACCAGCTCTCTATCCCTCATCCTCAGACAGGGTACATTACAGAACTTGCAGGACAGGAGAGGACAAATATAGGCATCAGTCTAAGGCATGGAAGAAGACAGGCAGGACTGCCTGCATCTCAGGACTGTCTCTGTCTATGGATTGAATGGTGGGGACAGACTGAGGGAGAGAGGTAATGAGGTAGCTTGAGTGGTAGAGCATTCGTCTAGCATGTACAAGATTTTGAGTTTAAACTCCAGTACCACCAAGAGAAAAAATGGGGAAGAAGGAGAGTAGAAGAGTAGGACTTAAGTTGGAATTGTCCAGGGGCAGGAACAACAAGGGCTATTTTAGGGTGCCTAAGTGCACAACATAAAGGATTTCTAAAAGGAGGAGTCCCTCAGGGCACATCAGGAAAGAGGAACCATACGACCAAAACCCATGGCATAGGGTGGTGTCAAAGGATCCCTCTCTCTGTTCACTTTCCCTTCTCTCTCATCCAATACAGCCTAGAAAGGACCAACTGTTTGCCCTCACAGAGCTCAGCGCAGAGCCTGGGATGTTTTCAGCATAAAAAAATGGAGAGATTAGAGCAAGATCTCAGAGAGTGCAGAGCAAGAAGAGCTAGGTGTGGTGCACCTGTAGCCTGGTGAGAGAGAGGAGAAGAATGGAGGGAAGAATGGGACAGAGGGAACCCTGAGGGGAGGGGCAGAAAGATCCAGAGCTCCCAGACAGGGATGCCTTCCCCGATTTGCTTTGGGCTTTGGAAATGGGTCAGGGCACTTGGACATAATCAGCTCTTACCTAATAATATTTGATAGCTAGGTGTTGACAAAGTAATGTGTAACTATAATTTGCCTTATACCTCCTGAGTGGTACATCACAGCTTACTCAACTATATGCGTGTTTGCCCTTTGCAAGGTAGTTAGCTAGGCAAGCCACCTTTGTATTTGAAGTATTATCCCACTGCTGCAATGGCTGTTTGCCAATCTTTAGAACCCATTGCATGGCCTTTTTCTTTTTTCTTTTTCTTTTTTGCCAGCCCTGGAGCTTGAATTTAGGGCCTGGGCTCTGTTTCTGAGCTGCTTTTGCTCAAGGCTAGCACTCTACCACTTGAGCCATCATCACTCCACTTTTGGCTTGTTGTTGTTGTTAATGTGGTACTAAGGAATCCAACCCAGGGCTTCGTGCATGCTAGGCAATCACTCTACCACCAAGCCACATCCCCAGCCCAAATGCATGGCCTTTCTTATTGGTGTCAAAACTTTGTGGACACTTTGGGTTTTGGAGTACAAAGCTCCATTTGAAGCTTAGCTTTGTGACCCCACTAGTGGAACAAAATGGCAAGAGGGAGCTTGCTGTGGTGGTTCTGGAAAGTCCCCAGAGATGGGCAACCCACCTACCCGAGCAATGACAGCCTCTTTGGAATGTGTGCAAAGCCTCCGCTGGGGAAAAAGTAGTCATGTGGGAAAGGAAGGTGTATTTGTTAAGTCTGATTGCATCTCTTTATAGTCATACTCTATGTGCGTCACCTACCATCAGCAAAGTTCAGCACTTGAACTGTGTACCTGCTGTGAACTGGTTCATCAAAGCTACATGCAGCACAGTTTTACTCTGAAGGATAATTAACTCTCAGAGAATGAAGAGCAGCATAGCAATTGTAATTTTCATGCTCTCTGAAAGTCATTCAAGTAAGAGTCCTTAACTTTTGAAAAATGACACCTGTGGAAAGACTTTCAGTCCAATCATACCACTGGCATGCCATGATCTGGGAAGCAGCCCAAAGTTAACTATAAGTGTTGTGAGAATTTCTTGGGCTCTGCCTTGATCAGCCCTTACAAAATTCTTGTTTTTTATGCTTTTCTCCTCTTAGGCAGAAAGAGACACCATTTTGATTATGAAGGGGCTGGTGTGCACTCTCCACCTTGCCTCTGTACAAAGGGAGTGGTAAGGGCTGGGAAGGTGGCTCAGTGGTAGAGCGCTTGCCTTGCATGCATGAGGCCCTGGGTTCGATTCCTCAGCACTACATAAGCAAAACAGAAAAAAAAAAGCAGGAAGTGGTGCTGTGGCTCAAGTGGTAGAGTGCTAGCCTTGAGCTGAAAGGTTGAGGAACAGCGCCCAGGCTCAGAGTTCAGCCCCCACGACTGGACCTCCCCCCCCAAAAAAAGGAGTGGTAATTAATCTACCTCATGAATGTGGGATGAGGATAGAATGAACAAATGTATGTTAGAGAGCAGTGGCCAGCCCATAGTAAGTCTGGGCAGTTGTCATTGTTACTAATTTAGGACATTGCTTCTAGAGTCCCACTGCACCAGGCTATTGGTCAGTCTGGGATTCAGTTGTTAAGTCAATGTGACAGTAAGCAGGGGATTCCGATTGTTGAGATGTGACTGCAGCTGGAATTTACACATCTCTTGGGTTCTGAGCTCAGCCGCCTCACGGAGCCTGATGGAGAACCCGGCTCCAACCCCAGAACTTCGGCCACATGGCAAACAAGAAGGGGCCCCTGAATGTGGGTGTCTCTGGTGACATGTAGTGAATGCAGAGGCTGCAGGCCACCCCAGCCTCATGTCAGTATTCCAATCACCTGTCCTCCCACCTCCAGGCTTCTCAGCTTCTGTGCTCCCAACCAGGTCAGAGGCAGGAAGGACAGCACAGGGAAGTTTCCATCAGTGTAAAACTATCCAGAGTATTGAGATGAAAACATGGTGGCTGTTTGGAATCTGGAATCACATGTGATTTGCAAAATCACATGTGATTTTCATGTCCAAGGAGATCTTGTAAAATTGGACTTAAAAAAAAAAAGAAAAATAGCTGAATTCAGGAACAGTGTGTTTTCCTCCTTTCTCAGACAGCAGGCTTACCTTATGGAGTGTTCAGAGAGCACTTCTCCACACTGGTGAGTCACCAGTCCCTTTTGTCAAGAAGTTAGATTTGGAGATGGGAATGAGTTCAGCACACAGTTTCTACTCATTAACAGTGACTGAGAAAGATCCCACATCACTGGTGTCTCGGAGAGAGGCTAAGGCTGGCTGGGGACAGCTCCGGAAGTCGTTTGAGGCTCAGGGTGACCCTGCCCACAGACAGACACCCCAGGACCTTTGCTGGCTGCCATTGCATTTCGGCATTCACGGACTCTGAAGGATCTGCTTACTCTAACTGATCTTATTCCTGCATAATCTTTTCTTTTTCTCCTGCTCTGCTGCCTGTTTATTTTTTGTTATCAGAGGAAGAAGAAATGCTCGAACCAGGAACCAGGTATTTACTAGAAAGGCCCATTAGCCCCATGCAACTGGGCGGAAGTTATCTCTTGATCTGACTTCCAGAACAGTGCTCACTTTGCCTGTTGCTGATGGGGTCCCTCTCCTTTCCTGTCCTCCACTGCCGTTAAACAAAGACAGAATTCACAGGTGGGGTGTGGAGGAGCCAAGAACATCTGATCCATGCCGTTTCAAGAAAGGCATGTTACATATGCTTTGTGCTTTCCTCACCTTTTAAGGAGGCTAGTGGTTTAATTTGGTCCTTTTCAAAAAAAAAGGTTAAAATAAATGTTATACTTTTTAAGTGACCTAAATAATAGATCAAGCAGTCTTGGGAAGCCAGAGGAAATTACCCTTTGCTCAGCCATTTGTGACTGTAGACCAGCCTAAGAAGAAATTGAATATCCTTTTATGTCCTGGATACCGATACTTAGCATCACATCTTATTCAGCCTTTTGACTAAGACCAGCCACTAGATGGCCAATGGCTGAACTACTTACATGCTTACTATTAAAGCATTCATGTGGATGTTTACATTACATCATAGGCTAGTAGAACTAGCCTTTCCTCCTTCGAGCCCCAGCCCCGCTCCCCCACACTTTGTTCTTATTTCTGGCATCAGGCACCACAGCAATGGGATGAGGCGCTCACCCTGCCTGTTTATTCCTGAGCACTGGGAGAAGCTCCTGAGTTGGGCTAAAGTGGATCGGGAGGGAGGCAGGGTACTCGGGCTCCAGGCCTCTCCCTCTAATGGCTTCTGCCCCCATTTCCCATGCCCTGAACCCAGATTCCTTGCAGCTGGGGAAGAAGAGAGAGCATTTCTTTAAAATTATCATAGCTATGCCTTTTTCTGCACTTAACTGAAGACTCTATGGTAACTATTTGTAGACACTTTAAGATTATTAGCCTTTCCTTGCTTGTTTTCTTACTAATCTGATGGTACTAATATTCTGGCTTGTTGACACCATGCTTGCATTGTCTTTTGCCTATGGTGGTTGTCCAGCCTAATGAAAGTCATATTTTTTTTTATTTTTCCTTAAGGATTCAGGACAAGCTATACCACTTGTAGTTGAGAGCTGTATTCGATACATCAATTTATACGGTAAGCTCCATCTTGGGATCAGACTTTTTGGCTAGATTGTTCTAGAAGGAAATGAGATTCTAATTCATCTTGGAAAACGCCCTGTTGGTGCTCTGCTTCCCAGGTAGGAGGGGGAGAATGCTGTTATTCTTGGTGCTCTCTTTGGAGCGTGTATGCCAGGATGGGGATGTGGAAGCAGGTGTGAGGATGTGGGCCTGGGCTAACAGAAGTTTTGAGGGCCTAGACAGAAACAAATTCAGTTCCTTCTCACTCATTCCTTCTCACTCACACCCAGCCCAGAGCCAGCATGCCAGTTAATACTACTGGGTCATAAACACTGAAATTTGTTAACCCTGGTGTCACCAGAACATAACCTGTGCTTGTCCACTTACTTATTCCTGCAATCACATATTTATTTAATGAGTAATTAGGCACTGTTTTGGACACAGGAGTAAAAGTGTGAATAAAAAAGGGAACCTGCTCTGGGTAGTTTACATTCTCAACTGAAAGACAAGGAAATAAATAATAAGAGTAAGGGCAGTCATCCCTTGGTACTGATAAGGGATTGGTTCTAGGACCCCTGCATAACAAGGTCTACAAATGCTCACATGCCTTGCATAGAAGGGCATAGCATTTACAGATAACCTACTTACTTGTAACACCTAATACAAAATGAATACTATGTAAATAATTATATTGTTTAGGGGATGATGACAAAAAAATCTGTGCCTTTTCAGATCAGATGTCATTTTTTTCTTGGATATTTTCAAATCCACTTTTAGTTGAATCCACAGGGGAAAAACCAATGGATACGAAGAGCTGGCTGTAATATAATCATGAATAGCAGTAATGCCATGAAACTAATGGAAAGGGGGTAGGAAATGGCTTGCTGGGTGCTACTATGGCTAAAGTGGTAGGAAGAGACCTCTTTGAAGAGGTGATGATTGAATTGTAGCCAGAGTAGAGAAAGCCCGCCATGTACCCAGGTGGAGAGAATGGTGAACAACAGGGAGAAGGAAGGTCAGTGTGGCTGAGTGGTAATGAGGCAGGGAGCAAGATAGACACACATGGATGGTATAAATGTAATGTTGCTTAGCTATGGAGATAAACTGGTTATTGAGCACCAAATGTTGGCAAAACCTTGGCTTTGAAGGGAAGACATTCCCTGCATTATTGACATGGAGAATTGTTCTATATAGGAAAACTAAGATGGGAAGGATTACCGTCCATCCATTTCCACTCGAGATGAAGCAGGCCCCGATGACTCCCTTGGCCCGTTTCATCGTCACGGTTGGGTCAGGGTCAGAGTCCTCTTCATTAGGGTTTTGTAGAAACATGTAAAATTAAGTACGAACTTTTTTCTTAATTCAATCTTCTTCAAACTCTTGGATTCCCAGACTGGAGTACTTCCTTGAAGGAAAAGCTTTTCTGAATGAAGGAAAGATACTGATGTTGATTAAATTGACTCATTATCTGGGCACTAATGGCTCTGCCTCTATTCCTGGCTACTCAGGAGTCTGGGATCTGAGAATAGGAGTTCAAAGCCAGCCTGGGAAGGAAAGTTCATAAGATTTTTATCTTCGATTAATCTCAAAAAGAAAAAAAACTCAAAAGAGGAACTGTGGCTCAAGTGGTAGAGCACTAGCTTTAAGCACAAAAGCTCAGGGACTGCAAGAGCACAGACCCTGAGTTCAAGCCCCAGGATTGGCACCAGGGGTGGAAAGAAGAAAGAAAAAAAGAAATGACTCATGGTCTTGGCCTTCAAACCAGGTCAGGGAGTCACAGACATGGAAGCAGTGTGTGTCTGAGTATTTGGGTAGCTGTAGCTCATTGTCAAAGCCATGTTTGAGCTGCTGCCAGGGTATCTCTGTTAGGAATGGCTCCATTGTAAAGGAAAGAAGTAGAAAGGGACAAGCCTGCGCCGGGCACTGGTGGCACTGGTAACCCTAGCTACTCAGGAGGCTGAGACCTGAGGATTGCTGTTTGAAGCCATCCCTGGCAGGAAAGTCTTGAGACTCTTACTTCCAATAAACCACTGAGAAAAAGCCAGAAGTGGCGCTGTGGCTTAAGTGGTAGAAAAGAAGCCCCAGGACTGCCCCACACCAAAAAAAAAAAAAGAAGAAGAAGAAAGAAAGAAAAGGAAGGGAAAAAAAGAGACAAGCCTGGAGAGTCTCCAGTGTCCCCAGTGAGCTGCTGAGCTCAAGTCTCATGTCATTGATGGGTTTTTTTTTTCTTTGTTTCCTTTTTAGGACTCCAACAACAGGGGATCTTCAGAGTGCCAGGGTCTCAGGTTGAAGTGAATGACATAAAAAATTCCTTTGAGAGAGGTGGGTGTGACTGGCTGTCTCAAGCTGTGTGGCAGGTGGAGGGAGGAGGCTGTGTGTGCGTGTGTGTGTGTGTGTGTGTGTGTGTGTGTGTGTGTGTGTGTACAGGTTTTAGAGCCCTTGGCTCACAGTGGTTTTCAAGAGCCAATACACACATCTCTTTTCCCATTTCACCGTCAGTGACTTTTCCCTGGTAGCCTGAAATGAGTCACAGCAGGATTATTTTATACCACAGGTAATGGAAAATATCAAAATCTTTTTGCTTTCTTTTAAAAAGCTAACTCCTATTTTACTTATTACTACAACTTGAGTATCCCTAATCCAAAAATCTCAAATCCAAAACATTCCAGAGTTTAAAACATGGAATTACCAACATGATGTACAAATGGCAAGTTGACCACCTAGCTCCGTGAGATAGATCACAGTTTCTATGTAGGTGAGTTAAAAATATCAAATCTTCAGGTTATATATGTATATATAAAGGGGGTTATGAACTATAAGTGACTTTTATGTTGAGACTTGGGTCTCATCTCCAAGATCCTTCATTAGGTATGTGCAAATATTCCAAAATTTAAAAAAAGGATCCAAATAAAAAACACTTGTGGTCCATTGCTTCACCTGGACTATAGCTGCTGGTGGGTGACTTTCTCTAGCGTACTTTCCCATCATTTCTGGAAGACAGCCTTGTGCAGAGCTCAGAGATATTGATGTATCTGAGAAAGTTGGAAAGACCAAGATGACTCCAAGTGAATTTTAGAATAGCCTATTTCTTCATTTTTTCCCCCAATACAGTGGTTTTTAGCCAACTACACATTGTGAGGAAGAGACCATATATTCCCCTCTCCCCCGAGTCCCCACTTTGATTGGCTAAGCACATGAAAGCTTATTGGAAGTGAGGCGGCAAGAACAGGCTCCTGTGGTTTACTTAATGTGGCCTCCCTTGTCTCAGAGGCCCTGATGGGGACAGTTGGCCCATGACAGTGTTCATACAGAAGAAGGCCCCACTGTGCCAGGAAAAAATGAGTTCTTACACATCTGTGTTTCTCTGCACAGTGCTTATTTTCTCTGCTTACAGTAAAACTGGAAATCCATGCATGTTTATCCAAGAAAACAAGTTCAGATGTCTTGATCCCTGATTCTAGGACAAAGCCTAGCCTTAGCAAGTCCATGTTCATGTGCCAGTGGAGGAAAGGAGACTCCATCATATCTATCCCAGACAATACTGTATATCTGCTGCCAGTTTTCCAACAATTTGGAAAGATCCATAGTCTGTCCCTCTTCAATTTGAATCCTCTATCTTGTTTTTTTGGGTGGCCCAGAAAACAAAGCCCAGTTTCTAGCAACACATCCCAATAGGTAAGAAAACACTTTGTTATCAATGCTTTCAGGTGAGTTTCTTCAGACTCATGAGGTGTATGCCTTTACCCTGCTGGCTGTACTCCGAGCAAGCCTTTCCCTGGGGCTTCACCCACAGGACTCTCCCTATTATCTCACTTCTCCTGGAGATGCTGCCTTCTTAGCCAACTCTCTGCCTCCCAGTCTAGTCCTCTCAGCTCCATCCATCATTGGGGAAAGCATTCTGCATCACCGGCATGCACCCTCTGCATCCCATACACTCTGGGTGTTAAGAGCAAGATTGGGCTCAATGTGATGCCCAGTAGCCTCCCAAGAACCCAGCGAACTTCAGCTCTGAAGTCCACTCCAGAATCTTAAGCACTTAGAACCAGAGGACCCCAGACTTCCCCTGCTCCATACTCTCCCTGGGCATTTATTCATTCATTAATTCAGCAAGCAAGCATTCTTTGAGCCCTCTACAGTACAGGTAATAACCTAGGACCTAGAAATCAGCCAATCCATCTCTACTGGTGGGGAGACCAAATTCATGAACAATTTTCCTAATGGGTACAGAGTTTAAGTAAACACTGGTTACTATGGGATCCCCTCACTCACCTAGGGTGGAGTGGGGAAGAAGAGCAAAGCCAGGGAAAGCTTTGTTGGGAGGAAATGACTAGGTTGGAACCTTCATAGCTCCATCCTCCCAGGCTTACCCCATCATACAGACCTCCTTGACCCTGCCATGAATCCCTTGGATGACCTTGCACAGTGCCTCCAGCCCGGTAGACATTTGCCAGTGAGTTTGTGGAATACTGATGGAACCAAACCCGTGTGATGCGGTAGAGATTCTGCAGGAGGGTTAGTATAAGAGTAGCTATTCAATAAGGAACATCCATGAAGAGAGATACACTCCGCTGCCATCTTGCTTGTGATCCTGTTTTGGCCATCCACCCATGTAGCATCCTTGCCAAAAATATTTAACCCAAATTGAGTTATGGGGAAACAATCAGACAAACAAAAAATTTGGGTAATTCTATGAGATAACTGACCTGAACTCTTTGGCAAGAGTTAATATTATAAAACACAAATGTAACCAACAAATATGTCAGAGCCTAGTTTTGCCCTTAAAGTAAAAGAAACATGATCAGCAAAAGAACACTATTCAAATCGGTGTGAACCCTAATTGGAAGTTAGATTTGACAAGATTTTATAAAGACTTTGCAGGATGATTGGGGAAAGTTTGAATGTGGACTATATGTGAGACATCATTTGGAACAGATTGTTCGTTTCCCTGGGTATATCATGCTCTTTGTGGTTGTGTGAGACTATACTGATTCTTAAGAGAAATGGGATCAGTGTGTTGTGATGTCTACAAATATTTTCAAATTATTGAGCCATGGTGAATACAAATAGGGGGAAAGAGAGTATGCCAATTTGGCAAGAAGTATGGTGGATGTGTATTGTTTTACTCTTAAATTTTTTCTGAAGAGTTGAACATTTTTAAAGAGGATGTTTCAGAGGAAACTAAAATCTAGGAGGAGAGAGGAGCCATATGTTGGGAGGTTTGTTCCATTTACCTTCCACCAGTACAGGTGGCCAGGTCACCTGATCTGCTATCTGTATATCCACTACCTTCTCCCCAACCTAAAGCCGCCTCATTTCCCATTTCCACAGGTGAAGACCCCCTTGTGGATGATCAGAACGAGCGAGATATCAACTCAGTAGCTGGTGTTTTAAAACTGTATTTCCGAGGACTGGAAAACCCACTCTTTCCTAAGGAAAGGTTTCAAGATTTGATATCTACTATTAGTAAGTATTTCCCAGGTGGAACCATCATATCCTCGATGATGCCTTTTTTTTTTTTTTTTTTTTTTTTTGGGGCTGAGATACTGGGCATGGGCGCTGTCCCTTTGTTTTTGTTTGTTTTTTGTTTTGTCAGTCCTGGGACTTGACTTGAGCACTGTCCCTCAGCTCTTCAGCTCAAGGCGAGTGCTCTACCACTTGAGCCACAGCGCCACTTCTGGTTTTCTGGTGGCTTATTGGAAATGAAAGTTTCACGGCTTTTTCTGCCCGGGCTGGCTTTGAACTGCGATCCGCAGATCTCAGCCTCCTGAGTAGCTAGGATTACAAACGTGAGCCATTGGCTCCCGGCCTCGATGAAGCTTTATTGAAGCTGCACTATGGGCTCATCACTGTGCCAGGCATCAAGGAAGGATGACGTGAAAGTGTGGCCTTTATCCTCACAGACCTTAGAACCAAGCTGTGGTTTGCAAGGAGAGGGCCAATGGATATGACAAAAGCCCGATACAAAAGAGCTTAGGGGAGAAGCAGAGTGAGGCTCAGTTTTGGGGACTGGACCCAAGGGAGGCATGGGAGCAGGGTCTCTAGCAGTGGACACAGGGAATCCTGGGAAAAGTTAGGGACACAGACCACCGGAGCCAGCAGAAGGGTGTCCTGACCTGTGCATCGTGCAAGAGGGAAAGTTAGATGGAGCAAGCGGTGGAAGAGCTTTCTACCTCGGGGGATGGGGAACCACACAAGGTCTGGGGGTCAGGTGAGCAGGCAAGGGAATGGTAGGAATAAGTTACATTGTTAGCACAAGAGCCCTTCTTGACAGTTGTGTTTCTGTGCATGAAGTCAGGAAGAGCAGGCTTCAGGGAGTGGGGACTGACCTCAAGGCGTCTTGGCTATAAGATGCTCAGATCCAAAGCACTTTTTGGGAGGAAATATTTTTAAAATAAACCTTTAGTTTGAGCATATTGTATTGGATTTAGAGAAGAGTTAGTCCATCTCAGTTTCACTGCTTTTCTTCTCCCAGGACTTTGTGAGTTATCTGCGGTCAGGAGCATGTCGACAGTTGACAAAGGGAGAGAGAGGCCTGAGTGCTCTTGGGCTCTTGTGCAAAGGCCCTGCCTGTGCCCATCTGTCACCTCCACTAATTCCTGTCCTAGATTTGCTGTAACCTTAGCCTATGACTTGAGAATCCCAGACCACAAAGGCCTAGTCTGAACTCCATGTCTCTTATTCATTCAGTGTTTCCAGAAGCCCAGTTATCCATTTCCTATGTAGAGCCCTGAGTGGACAAGAAGGTCAGTCTCTAGCACAGGTCATGACCAGGACATTACCTAATTCAAGTCACAGCATGAGAAAGTCTATTCTCAGTTTCCTTCCAACCCTGTGATTATACCAAAAAGAAGACATAACACATACATGCCAACTTCCCTTCTGAACACAGAGAGCCAGGCTCGGTCTCTGGAAACTTGGTAGGCAACAATGACTACCTATAATTTGGTTAACTATAGTTTTGGTTGCTTTTGTTGTACAATTGTCCCCATCTGTGGTATTGATTTCTAAGTCTAGTTACTGAGTCAACTGCAGTATGAGGATGATTAGTGAAAAATTTCAGAAATAGTTCATTGTTCAAAAACTTTTATTACAGTGCGTTAACATCGTTCTACCATTAGCTACAGTTATCATTACTCTCTTCCTGTGCCTAACGTTGTCAAAGGCAGATGCAGGTAAGAGGATACGAGATTTATGGGGTTTGATACTCCCTGCCATTTCAGACGTCCTCAGAACGCCTTTGACTCCATCTCTACAGATAAGGGAGAACTTATGCACCTCCTAACTGGGGTATTGATCCCCATTTCTCATGAACAGATTAAGGTAAAATTTCCTTTTAAAATAAATATATCCATCCAGGTGCCAGTGGCTTACACCTGTAATCCAAGCTACACAGGAGGCTGAGATGTGAGGATCATGGTTCAAAACCAGCTTAGACAGAAAAGTCTGTGAGATTCTTATCTCTAATTACTCACACAGAAAAGCTAGAAGGAGAGATGTTGGCTCAAAGGATAGAGCACTAGCCTTGAGAGGGGAAAAAAAGGCCCATGGAAACAAACAAAAACCCTCCTTTCTTGCAGCCCCCAACTATCCGGACTTCACTCTACCCAGATTCAAGGGTTTGGCTTTTGTTAGGTTTTCTCCACTGGAAGTCATGAAGATCAATTCTGATTGGCTCTAGGTAGACCATGCCTCTAACACCTCCTGTGCCTAGAGCTGTGACATTTTGATTGTCAAGCCAGAATTCTGTATGGATGCTCTAAATGAGAAGGATCCAGCTGGTCACTGGGGACTGACGTGGAAGGTGGGACAGCAAATAGCTGCTGCTTTGCCCTCCGAGGATGACCAGCACCCTGAAACCCGTTTATGTTACAGAACTGGAAAGCCCAGCTGAGAGGGTGCACCAGATCCAGCAAATCCTCATTACCCTGCCCCGTGTGGTCATCGTGGTCATGAGATACCTCTTCGCTTTCCTCAACCAGTGAGTGCCTTGCTGAGGGGCCCCTGTTTTGACTATCCCTGACCTCCTCTTGTTGGGAGGGGGTGTCCTGAAGCATTTGCAGATGTTACTGTGTTCAAAGCAGAACAATGAACCATCCTGGATTTGAGTATAGTCCTCCCTTCAAAAGACAGGAACCATGAGGGATTGGCCTCTCCCAGGTGACTTGTGGGTACCTGCTTTCTCCTAGCCTCTCCCAGTATAGCGACGAGAACATGATGGATCCCTACAACCTGGCCATCTGCTTCGGGCCCACCCTCATGCACATCCCTGATGGACAGGACCCTGTGTCCTGCCAGGCACACGTCAATGAAGTCATCAAAACCATCATCATCCATCATGAAGCCATCTTCCCCAGCCCCCGGGAGCTAGAGGGACCCGTATATGAAAAATGCATGGCTGGAGGGGAAGAATATTGGTAAGATGCTATGCCTCTTAATGTTATTCTCATCATCACTCACCAGACAGTGAGAAGTCCCCTCCCCTACAAGTTCTTACTGCTTTAGAGTCTATAGTTCCACATGCATTTTCTCCTTTGAGCTTCATGCAGCCTTACACCAAAGGAAGGTACATTCATCAAGAGTCCATGGGTTACAGGGAATAGAAACACAACATGTCTGTGTCAAACAAAAGTCCGGTGTGAGTGGATCTAGGGACTTAACTCTTTTTTTTTTTTTTGGTCAGTTGTGGGGGCTGAACTCTGGGCCTGGGCACTGCCCCTCAGCTCTTCAGCTCAAGGCTAGCGCCCTACCACTTGAACCACAGCACCACTTCCGGCTATTTTCTGCTTATGTGGTGCTGAGGAATCGAACCCAGGGCCTCATGCATGCAAGGCAAGCATTCTTCCACTGAGCCACCTTCCCAGCCCGGGACTTAACTCTTATTATCAGGATTTGTCTGCAATCCCCACCCATTAGCTTTGCTTTCGTCTGTACTGGCTTCATTCTCAGTCTTCCCCTCGATGGTTGCAAGAAGGCAGCCAGCAGCTCCAGCTTTGTAGTGCATTCTCTGAGAAGCCTCGGGGGCGGGGGGGCACCTTCACCTTCCCAAATGTTCCAGCACAGGCCTGGGATGTGCTTCATGCTGCCATTGGGTCTGGTGAAGTCAAGACAATAGTGTGGAGAGGTAACGCTCTCGCTGGCCTGCTGGGCCTGGTCAGGCTTCTCAGGAAGGAACCATCCCTGGTAATCACTCAGAAATAAGAGTGACACTTCCCACCAGCATCCCCTCCCACCCAGGACTTCCCTCTTCTGCACAAAGTGAGCTTGATTCTGGAGTGTTCTACTCCAGGTCAGCTATCACTCATTGGGTACCTCCATGTTGCCTGAGACTACACCTGGTCTTAGATCTACTTTAAAACCTTTTCAGAACCATGTCTAGCCTAATATGTGCAGGCAGGAAAAAACTGAAGATTCAACCAAGAGGTGAGTCTAGGTATTTGCTTCAGAAACCTAGAGAGAAGGAATCTGTCATCATTAAAAACTGATAAAGGGACTTGGTGCTTAGTATGCCTGAGACTCTGGGTTCAATCCCCAGCACCCACATACCCTCTCCTATACCAGAAGAAAAGAAAAGGATAAATGTTTAAGTAGATACATTTACCCCCAAGAGTTTTGTTACACAGGGTGTAACATCACATGGTACTCCATGAATATGTACAATTTTGTGCTTGTATGTATCAGTTAAATTTTCTAATTAAAAAAGAAGGCTCCATGAAAAGAAATGCAGTCAAAACCTGAAACTCAGCATATAAGCAAGAGAGACCCACCAAAGGCTGTTTCTTTATTCCCAGGATGATACACAACTACAGTACCCAGCTGCATATTCAAGTCTACTTTCCCAGGTTCCTACAAGCTTTCCCCAGGTTCTCCTTTTTAACCTTTCTCCCCCTCCCCCACCCTACTTTTGCAGTATGGATATTGAGTTCAGGCCTCATGTTTGCTGGATGAGTGCTCTACCACTTGAGCCACATCCCCAGCCATTTTGCTTTTAGTTTGTTTTTGAAATAGGGTCTAATACTTTTGCCTGGGCCAGCCTTGGATCAGACCACAGTCCTGTCTCCATCTCCCAGTCTGGGATCATAGGCATGCACCACCAGAAAGTTTGGTTTTTGTTTTGTCTACTGAGAAAAGGTCTCCATATATATAAATTTCCCAGGCTGGTCTCAAACTCAAGAATCTTCTGTCTCAGCCTTCCAAGTGCTGGGATTATAGGAGTACACCACCATACAGATCCAGAATTTGTTTTTTGATTAATGTTAATGCTGGAATTGCCTTAGTTCTGTGAACCGATTTGGATACCTGCTTCAAAGAAGGGAGGTGATTCCAGTCCCTCTGACCTTGTGCACATGTCTGAGCTGTAGTGGCTCAGGGCTTTGTGCTCTCATTGGGGGCCCCAGGGAGCAAGTCCACCCCTTTTGTGTCACAGAAACACTAAACATGTAGAATGCATCACTAATGCACAAAGGGAACCTTCCACACATTTTACCACCGTCACTGGTTTCCTTGGCATAATAGCCGGTACAATTGTATATAACATGTTCTGACAAGGGATCTGCAGATCCTGCCTCCCAAAGAACAATGTGCAATAACCATACTTTTCTCAGTCCCATTCATTTCTCATGAGACTGGAAAAGCCCCATTATATGGTCATTTTGGAGGAGTTATGAAAGTCAAGAAAGGTAGATTTGGACATAACCTTGACAATAATTTTTTTTAAAAAGAAAGAAAGGTAGATTTGGCAAAGATCCCAGCACAGTGGTTCCCAAGCTCTGGTTGTGTCTTGAGTCCTGGCTGGGCTGCAGGGATGGAGCGGGAACAGGCAGTTCCAGAAGTGAGGTCCAGGGCCAGCCCAAGGCACACTTCTTAGAGAAAGCAAAGACTGCACTAAAGCAGCAGGGTAAACTGGGGCCACTCAGTGACGACTGGGGGAAGAAAGTTCTAGGCCTGGAACATTTGGTAATTTGAAAAGCTGCTCTGTTTGGCTGGGGTGTGGAGGATTGAGAATTGAGAGTCAGGGGGCTGCACAGGTTAGATGGGGCTATGACCCTATCCAGGGGATAGGAGAATTCTTCAGCAGAAAGCTTATACTCCTTCACTTGACATGGCAAACATCCCCTCATCTGAGAAGCCATCCTTGATCCTCTGTATAGGTCCCCTTGGCTCATTTCTTTCCTACCACACATCATTTCAGCTGACACGTGTTTAATCCACTAGCTTGTTTCCTTGTCCTACTTTCTAGAATGGGAGCAGTGAGGCCCAGGACCTTGTCCACCTGACCTATCAAAGCATTCCTCCTACTTAACCCATGGTATAAAGTAGAACCCACTTAATGGTTCACACCTATAATCCTAGCTATTCAGGAGGCTGAGATCTGAGGATTGCAGTTCAAAGCCAGCCTGGGCAGAAAAGCCCATGAGACTCTTATCTCCAATTAACCACCAAAAAGCCAGAAGTGGAGTTGTGGCTCAAGTGATATGTCTGGCCTTAAGTGAAAAAGCTTGAGTGCTGGCCTTGAGTGTTGGCCTTGATCAGATGACCACATGAATGAATTCTGGCCTCGAGAAGCTTATAATCTAACAGCAGGGTAGAGATTGTCCCAGTACACAAATGACACATTGTCACATCGTCCAGGGTGTTCCCACCACCTAGATTGGCCTGTGTATTATACATGGAAGATGAGGCAGCCCTGGTTCCACCTCTTCATGGGATGTGTCAGCACATCTGTAAGACAAGGAGTCAGGACAGGAGAACTGACTCTCAGTCCTTCAGGGGTCCTTTCTGGTCCATGCAAGGTTTTACCATTGCCATCTGGAGCTTTCTGAATAGGAGGAAATTGTCATCTATTCTGTGCTGCTACAGCAGAATTCTGGAGACTGGGTTATTTATAATGATGAGAAAGTTTTATAGCTCAGGATTCTGGAAGGTAGGAGGTTCAAGAGCTAGCAGCAGTGCCTCATGAGGGCCTTCCTGCTACAGCATCCCAGGGCAGAAGGGCAAGAAAGTGCAAGGGTGAGTGAATCAGAACAGGGTAGTTGGTCAGAGTCACTTTTAATCCAGCCCCCTCATGCTAAGTAATCCACTCCTGTGCTCACAATAGCCATCCATTCATGAAGGCAGGGCCCTCGTGACTGCTTCACCTTTGCTTAGAGCCACCTCCCAACATGGTTGCACTGGAGATGAAATTTCCAACACATGAACTTTGGGGGACACACTCATCTGAATGACAGCCTTCACCTAGAAGATACCCTGACAAATGCCAGGGCTAGCACAGGCCTGACGGAGGTATTCAGGAAGCTACTCTGCAAGGGACTAGGAGCAGTAGGTGTCACATAGAAAAGACAGGATGAGGTGCTTCTAGTCCTGTCCCGAGTGGGCCCCAGAGGAGCCCTGAGATGACACCCATGGAAGGCCAAGGGAAGTGTGAGGGTGCATGGCCTCCCGACAAGTCCTTTCCTTGTGTTCATTTGCAGTGACAGCCCACACAGCGAGCCAGGCACCATCGATGAGGTGGACCATGACAATGGCACGGAGCCACACACCAGTGATGAAGGTAAGTGAGCGGTTTCCAGACCCAGCACCTAACCTGAGACCCCCCCATAGTGCCTCAGGCCGCCCACAGTGCTGGCCCACACAGGGCCCAGCTCCCCAAGGCACACAGCCATCCTTCAGAGCAGTCCTGACACATCTGCAGGAAGACTGAGCTCACTGCCAAGGGCCCATAGCATTTGAAGGGTCTCACTGAAATGTTTCATTCTTTATTTTTGTGCTTGTCCTGGGGCTTGAACTCAGGGCCTGGGGCTGGCACTCTACTACTGCAGCCACACTTCTGCTTCTAGCTTTTTGGCCATTCATGGGAGATAAGAACCTCACAGACTTTCCTACCCGAGCTAGCTTCAAACCACAATCCTCAGATCTCATTCTTTTAAATATGGGAGAGAAAATAATTACAGTATCCACTCTGGACTGTATTTGCTTTTACATCATACAATATTTAACTTTTATTTTATGTAGGAAGGTTTTCATGCAGACACACATGCCAAGGGCTGGTAGTGGTCATGGAATGGTCCTACACAGTCTAGGCACATCCTCCCTTGCTCCTCTTTGTGTGTTTTCTGTAGGACTTGAAATCAGAGCTTCATACTCTCACTTCTCTTTTTCACACAAGGCTAGTGCTCTACCACTTAAGCCACACCTCTGCTTCTGGCTTCTGAAGATAAGAATTGCACAGATTTTTCTGCCCAGGCTGGCTTCATACCATATCTCATATCTCAGCCAATCAAGTAACTAGAATTATGGACATGAGTCACTGGCACCTGACCATATAGTTTTACTTTTAACAACTCATTATTTAGAAGTTCTTTTTTCGTTTTGTTTTTTTTTGTTTTTGGGTCCGGTTGTGGGGCCTGAACTCTGGGCCTGGGCGCTGTCCCTCAGCTCTTCAGCTCAAGGCTAGTGCTCTACCACTTGAGCTACAGCGCCACTTCCGGCTTTTTTCTTTTTTCTTATGTGGTGCTGAGGAATTGAACCCAGGGCCTTGAGCATGCAAGGCAAGCGCTCTACCATTGAGCCACCTTCCCAGCCCTATTTAGAAGTTCTTTACTTGGCCCTTGTGTTTCCCTCTTGAGATAACCCCAGGCAATGTTGAAAGCACTTATGTTAGAAGAACATTTTCCAGTCGTTTCTAGGAGCTGGAGAAAAGGCAAGACTTATAGATGGACTTTCACATTCAGTTCTTAAGAGAGAACTTGAACTCAGATAGTCTTAACCTGCTTTAGGTCATATGAACAGAAAATGACAGAGCACAAAAACCATTAGCACATTGCTTAAACTAGTCAAGACTGTCCTTGACCCAAGAACAAGTGTTCTATGGGCAGTTATGTTTAAACTATGACCCAAGGAATTCTTCCTCTCTCACAATAAAGTCTACAGATGCGTGTATTCATTTGCTAGAGCTGCCAAAACAAAATAACCACAGATTGGTTAACCACAGCTAGGCTTTAAACAGCAACTAACTTTCTCATAGTTTTGGACACTAGACACCCATGTTCAAGGAGCTGCATTAGGGTTAGTTTCTGTGAGGCCTCTCTCCCTGACTTGTCACCAGCAGTCTCCATTTATGCACAGGGATGGCTAGTGTCTCTTCCTCTTCTTAAAAGGGCACAGTGGATTAGGGCTGCACACTTGGAACTTGCTTAGCAGTACCTCAGTTTCTTTCTTTCTTTTTTTTTAACCTAATTAAAGAACCTGTCTCCAAATATTGAGTTAGGGCTTCAACTTAATGAATTTTGAGGGAACATGGTACAAAGTAGTGAACTTTGAAAATTCTGGGAACCCTTAAAAACTACATGCCACATTTTGCCCATGTGCCATCTATTTGAACTCTCA